TATGAGAAATTGAAAAAATGGAAATAAAGTGTTTGTAAATGGGGAGGGAAGGAGGGGGTGAAGGGAGGGCAGGGACAAGGGGAAAAAATGAGAATCAAGACCTATCATGTAAAGGTACAGGATCAAAATAATGAATGTAACTGTATTGTATACCTAAATTGTACCAATAAACTCAATAAAAAGAAAAAAATAAAGAATCAAATGTATGATCTACCTGATGTTACATTGCCTTTGGAGGCTGTGATGGTGCAAAAGGTCCCTGAAGAAATGATAAAGGTCTGGAATCTCCTTTTGGGTAATGGAAGAAACCATGTACCAGAAACATGAATCCCCAGACCCTAAGAGCCCAACTTAGGCTGGAAGCTTTCTGTATCTGCTCTTTGTTGCTGAATTTTCTTCAGCAGTGCAGTACAGGAAGAAGAAAAATAGCTCAGAAGGGGCTGGAGACAGGATTATGAGGTGGACACAGTGGAAAAGCAAGTATTGCATTGGTATAAAAAGACCTCAGTCCCAATGGCAAACAGTAGGACAAATGAGGATGAAAAGTCTGATAGTGAACCAGCAGGACACCCTGGACCCATAGCACAGGAGGTAACAAAGCAGATCAATCAGGCTCTAGAAAAATTCAAATCAGAAATAATTTCCCAGTTAACCATAGAGATGATGAGCAAAATGGAAGTCATGATTGGAGACTCTAGAACAGAAACTCAAAAAAAAAATAGATGAGTTCAAGACCATGATAGAAGCCATGAAGACTCAGCATAAGAAAGAAATGGAAACAATGAATGTCCAACAAAGGAAAGAAATGGAATCCATAAAACAGATTCAAACAGATATCCAGGAGATTAAAAACTCTATTGAAAGTGTACGCAACAGAATAAAAGACTGCGAACGACCATGATAGAAGCCATGAAGACTCAGCATAAGAAAGAAATGGAAACAATGAATGTCCAACAAAGGAAAGAAATGGAATCCATAAAACAGATTCAAACAGATATCCAGGAGATTAAAAACTCTATTGAAAGTGTACGCAACAGAATAAAAGACTGCGAACATAGAATTTCAGATATAGAAGATAGGATTGCAGTCAGTGACCATGAAAAAAGAGGTCTCTCAAAAACAGTAAGGGATCATGAGAAATCAATCCAACAACTTCTAGATGACACAAAGAAAAATAACATAAGACTGATAGGAATTCATGAAATAGCAGGAGAAAATGCAAATGACCTAAAAAAGCTCTTCACAGAATTAATGACAGAAAACTTCCCAAACAGAAGGGAAGAATTAGACATACAGATAAGTGAGGCATATAGAACTCCAACTAGCCAGAATCAAAAAAAAAAAAAAAAAAAAAAAAAAAAAAGACCTCAGTCCCTGTCACGAGAGGGGATAAGAAATGCCATTGTGAAAAAACTTCAACACAAGTTCTCACGTGCTTAAAGTGTGAGATAAAAGGGACCCGCCTGAGTGACAGTTTTTAGAAGGGAGAGGCCACAGCAGATTCCGGTGGTCAGGGAAGCCCACAGGGTCACAGCAACTGCTACTGCTGCCGCTCAGCAGCCTTGGGGGCCTTTTCCGGTGGTTAAGAGCAGATGAGATAAAACAGTAATTCTGCAGGAGGGCAGAGGACAGGTGGTAAGTTCCATTGCAGCCTCAGGAAGTGGGCAGCAAGCACAAAGAGTGGTCAAGGAGTTCATCTGAACTAAAACCCACTGACCAGAGCTGCAACTTCCAAATCCAGACAGGAATCAAAGTCAGCTCAGCTTCCTCTAACCTAGACCTGCTTATCAAAGGAAGGAATGAGGTCAGAGTCCTCAGGATAGGGGGTAGGGGAGAGGTACAGAGGGAGCTGAATTTCCACCAGGTAACAAAAGGATGTTGAGGTTTTCTTGGTTTGAACTTGTGTACCAGGCTGGAGGGGTGGGGATGGGGGAACAGAGGTGGTCTCTCCCGGGAACTAAGGGAATGGAGCCCAGTGAGATTTTAAGTGCCAGGGACAAGGCCAGCTTCAGCCAAGGCAAGTTCATTAAAGTCATAAAGTATCCTCCCCAGCCAGAAGCCACACACTATCACTACACATCGCACATATATTTCTTCCCATACTTGTAATCAATAAATACCAGAAGTCTGGGGTTCTCTTTGTCTTTGCTGCCCAGATCAGCGCAAATAATCCCAGATCCCTACTTTCTGTTGAAGTCCTATTTCTGTGTCTTTCTTTTGCCTCATGTAGTATTGCCTTGCAGGAGATTGAGATTCTCAGCTAGGGCCTCGATAAACTGCAGTCTGTTATCTACAACACAGTAGTAACTTTCTCCAACAAAACTATTATGTTTGCCTTTCATGCCTTTCATTCAAACCCTGTGCCTTCCTTGCTTCTGTTTAGGCTATTTCCTCTGCTTAGACTGTTCCTCTTCTTTACCTTTGCCTCCTGAATGCTTATATTTCATGGCCAGCTCCTCAATGTCCCTACCTAGAAGAAATCTCCATTTTTTGGCTCCCTTCTTAATCTTAAATTATCTTGCCTATCATTGACACAGAATTTTCTTTTTTCCTTTATAGTTGTTAGTGTACACATTGATTTTGCTCTAACTGTCTGAAAGATTCTTTTTTGTGGGAGAAGAGGAAATGGGGATCAAACTATCTATCCAAGCCCTGTTTTCTTCTGAGATAGGGTCTCCCTAAGTTGCTAAATGGCTCAGGCTGGACTCCAACCTGCAATCCTCCTGCCTCAGCTTCACAGTGTTGGGATTACAGGTGTGCACTTCCACCTCCAAATGAAGGATGTGTATGGATAGAATCCCCATCTGCTTCATCTCTGTTCCTCTGCAAAAGCTTGCATAGTTCTTGGAACATACTAGAAGATTTGCAAGTCTATTTAAATAATTTATTTAGGAATTCCTCTCCCAAAGTGACTCTAATACAGAAATTTCATGAAGAATACAAAAAAAGCCATGGAGATATGGTCCCCTAAGCTTTGCCCTCCCTCCTTACAGCCTCTACATTGGTGCAATTCATTTCCCATTTGCAGACCCTCAGAACAGAAATGCAATGGCCCTAAGGTAACATGGAACTCCTATGTGCCACTTGATTCAACAACTTTGGGAAATAGTTTTGGGGCACATGCTACAGGCATATGCACATTTTCCATGATTCTACCCTGGAAATGTACCCAACAGACTTGTCTGTACAAAAGAATCATAACAGGATTATTTTAATAACAAACAATTTTAAAAACAACACAAATGTTCATTGTTGTTGGAATGAATGAACAAATTGTGGTAAAGTTGCACAATAAAATACTCTACAGCTCTGAAAATGACCAGTTACAAGTAGTAACAAGCGCAAACCTTATAAGATATTGATCAAAAGAAGCCAGACTCTACATACCATATGATTCCATTTATGTCCACTCAAAACTAACCTACAATGTTAGCAGTCAGAGAAAGAGGGGTCTAAAAGATGAAAAGGGATTTAAGAATCTAGTTTTGGAAACAAATAGAAAGAAGAATATACATCACATTATTTATGACAAAGATTTTCATCAGCATAAATATCAAACAACAGAAATATAAATGATATTATGTTCAAAACAGAGTGGCAATACTTGCAGAAGAGGAAGTAGGTAACAAATGGGAAGGAAGATATGACTTTCTAAGGGACAGTTCATTTAGCAATAGCTCACTGAGATGCACATTTATTACTTTGTGCATTTTTCCATGTGATGGTCTGGCTATGCCTACAGTGATTTCTATGCAGCTGAATTCCCTTCAGAATAGTGCTGTCCCATCCCCCCACCCCATTCCCATCTATTTCACCATGCACACTCTCTGAGAAGAGTTACACTGAGAAAGAAATGTGTAAAAATGACTTCAGCATCCTACAGCCAACTGGGACCCAGGCAGAGCATTCACGATAGGAAACTACTCCCTGAGAAGTGAAAGTTTGCACAATCTTGTTAAACAGCTGGCAACCCTGACAGCTAACTGCCCTGCTCTATTTTGATCAACATATCTCACCACTAGCCCAAAGCACCTGTGCTTTGGGGTTTCCTCAGAATGAATGGCTAAATCCTAAAGTTAAGACCCCAAATGAACATTAGGGCCTAAGTCTCCTCCTCTGGGCAATGATTTGAGATGCCTAAAGATAACTCACTTATTCTATCAATAGCATCACCTACCATTTTAGGCATACATGCACTAATCATAATTTAACTTTTACTTGAATGATACAGTGTAGGCCTCATGAACAAAGGGGCCACGGACTTATCCACCATGGAATCCTCAATTCCTAGCAGAGTACCTCGGACAGAGCTGCTCAAAACACATCCAGGGAGGGAGTGGGAATAGAAAGGAGGGTGTTATAGAGGAAATAAATATTTATTGAAAGTCTGCTTGTGCCAGATATAGTTCTAGATGCTGAGAGTACAGCAGTGCACAAAACAACAAAAACATTGGTCTCAAGGACATTATGTTCCTGCAGGCTGAAGAGGAGATAGAGAGAGACAAAAAGAATAAGTAAATGATATTACATGGAAAATAGTGATGAGTGCTATGGAGAAAAAAACTAAGCAGTGCAAGAAATAAGGTGTTTCTTTTCTTGACATTTCAGTGGGGGGAGGGCATCACTGAGAAGGTGGTAGCTGAGCAAAATGATGAGATGGTAAGAGGAGCAAGGGAGACAAAATATGGTTGCACAGTGAGTTCAGAGTCAGCCTGAAGCACAAAGAAAAATACACCCAAAAAATGTGGATGCAAAGCCCCAAGGCACATATCACTCAGGTTTTGCAAAAGTCTTCAAAGAGCTTCCCATTTCACTCAGAGGAAAAGCTATGCATTTTACAGTAGCCTCCATGACCCACATGACCCTTCATCTCACCTCTGGCTCACTAAGTTCCAAGGGACCATGTAAATAGCGGTCAGAGGCTCTAGGTTCTGATCTCTCAGAAGGTCACATTGCCAAATCCACACCACCTCCCACCCACACCAGCCTGGGCTCCTTACCTTGGCCCTGATATCCCTTGAGGAACAGAAGTGTGAAGGTGAGAGCTCGCCACAACATTGCCATAGGACGCAGGGCTCAGATGGGCCTCTCTCTCCTTTAGACTCTCAGCTGTGCGTGGGCTCAGCAGTCACAAATCGGCAGGACAGTGACAGGGAGCAGAACTACCTCACAGCCTGTCCGGCCACAATTTCCTCAACTCATGGCTGTTCACTTCTGCTGTGAGCTGACAAGGCCACTAAAAGCCACAGTCCTTGGACCTGGCCTGACAGTTCCCACACACTTAGCTAGTAAAGTTTGCCTGAAATGGGCGGTGCATAGACTTCACAGTGACTCAGAAAGCCAGCTTTAAAATCTTTTCCCTTGCTTTACCCCAGTCCAGCTGCTACATTCAAAGGGCAGGCACATGATAAAAATTCCAATGCCCTCTATCCTACTGACACTATGAAAAAAAACTGCCTGGATATCCAACAGCCATTATCCCAGACTGTCTCCATCCAACACACATTGTGAAGGTGGGGGTTGGGGGAGAGCACTGGGGGCAAGTGTGAGCTGAGAGGCAGAATCCTGGGTAAATGGGTGCTAATGTTCAAGGTGGGAAAGAGTAAGTGGAGAAACATAGAAAGAGACCTGAGGTTTAGGGGCACTGGAAAAATCTAAAAGGCCTGAAGAGTCTATGCAAGTTCATACCAAAGTTTAAGAACTTGCAAACTATATTCTTTTCATAATGGTTTGCCTTTGGTCCAAGTTCCTATCAGTACTTTTATACTCCCTCTCTGATATTTTCTACTTTCCCATAATAGTTCTTTCTTCCTCCTCTTGCCTTCTCCCAGAATGAAAATGAACTCATTTTTTTTTCTCCCAGCCCCCATTCACACTTGGATTCCACCCTCCAGAAAAACCACGTGGCTTAAGATTGATTTGGGCTTCTGCGGACAGATAGAGCCTGTGATTTCCTACCTCTGCCAGAACCCTTTGCTTCAGGGCCCTACCCCAGCGTTCATGCCTCTTTCTTTCTTCTTTTTGCTCTTGGGCAGCAAATACTTTAAGTTCCTTTCAAGTCCACCCTTCTCTTTTTCCACCCTTTGATCCAGTGCCAGCCACACTGTCTGAAGCTGGGCCAGAGTGAGGCAGACAGAGAAACCTGGCTGCCAATGCCAGCATCAGTGGCATTCTGAACAGATCCCTAAATTTGAAGTCAAAGACTTGGACACATGTATGTAAATATCACATTGTGTTTCTGGCGTGAAAAACTGGACACGTAAATAAGGACCAAAATGTATAATAGATATTGTGAAATAGGGTGAAAATATTCAAATGGAAAGGGGAACTAGAGAGGGAGGAGGGAAGAGGAAGAAAGGGAAAAGAAAAAACAAGAAAAATAGGGAAAAAAAATTTTAAAAGCTTTTGTAAATAAGAATGGAAGGAGGGATTGAGGGATAAAGAGGGGAATGAGGAAAAAAGAAGAATCAAGATAAATCACAGACAGGTACCAATTCCCTGTGAGGCATGTGATCATTATGTACGTCTAAAATACATGTATCTAATAATAAATTTAATTAATTTTTTAAAAGTCAGATTTGAGCTTTATTTCAGCAACTTACAACTTGAGTGATGCTGGGCAAGTTACCTTATGAGTCTTCAGAATGAACAGTATTGGTTCCCCTTATTTATGAGAGATAGTTTTCAGTATTGAATTAATGACTATCCTTGATATATGTAAATGAGTGTTTGTGTACCCTGCATTCGTATCTTGAAATCTAATCACCAGTGTGATAGTATTCAGAAGTAGGGTCTTTTAGGAGGTAATTAGGTCATGAGGACAGAGCTCTTTTGAATAAGATTAATGCCCTTTGATTTTGTTTTTTTTTTGTTTTTTTTTTTTAAAGGTCTCAGAGAGCTTGCTGGTCCCTTCTGTCACGGGAAGGCACAGCAAAAAGTCAGCAATCTGCATCTAAAAGAGACCACACCAGGATTCGACCATGCTGGGATCTTGATCTTGGATTTCCCAGGCTTCAGATCTAGAAGAAATTAATTTATGCTGTTTATAAGCTACCCAGTGTAAGTTATTTTTTTATAGGAGCCCAGACAGACTATGATAAGTTTTTGCTTGTTTAACACAGGCCAGCATAGCTTCATCCAGTTAATCTAATGGTTACTGTCTCTTCTCTGCTTTATCTCCTCCTAAGGGGACACTTTTAAGCTTTGGGCATTTCCCACTGTTGGCCTGCTAATTCCCTTGACTCTGAGAAGTGGTGCTCACGATGCACTACAACACAGGTGAATTTCTTCATGTGACAGATGGAGGACAAGATCCAACTGTTGGTAACAATTAATGAGCACCATGAATTAGGGATCTGCTTCACCATCCTGATACCAACACCAACCCCAGCCTCTTCTGTGAGCATGTAAATGACCTACTCATCCCCTTAGGATTGAACCTGTGACAACTATACCGTTTCCTATCTGTCTGTCTGTCTTGTGGTTCTTAACAAGATTGACCACATCATAACTGCTGTTTCTTTCTGAACACTGCCTTGCCTGACCCTCATATCTTCAATAGAAAATATATGCTGCCCTAGCTTAGTGTTTCTGGAGTCTGGCCCAGTGTCTGATTCTTCATCGTTGCTTATCCACTGTTCTTATTAGTACATATTAATTATACATAATAATGTGTGTATATAGAACATTTGATCACATCCTTCCCCTATGACTCTCATTTACCCTTCCCTTCCCCCTCCCCTCAACTACTTCCTCTTTTCTAATAGTCCTCTGCTTTTACTTTTTATATAAGCCATCTCATTTATTTATTTAATTTATTTGTACTTGTTTGCAGCACCTACTAATCATAGTTATTTTTTAAACTATATAGAATATAAAGGTTTATTTCAAAAAAGATTACATTTTTTAACCTGGTTGCACAGATGCACTTGATGTAACAGTACCTCCTGCCAAGGTAGGTTACATAATACTCAGAAATGCAAGGAGCAATATTATTCCCTAAAACTGAGACAGCAGACTTTTTAAGCTTAGCCTTCAAAATGGAGGCTGACAATGTTTGATGACAACAAGAATGTCCAGAGCCTGACACCACAGCCCCAATGCTGCAAATTACCCACTGCCACACAGCTGCAAACTACACCTCACGTTCACACAGCCTTCAACAAAACTGCTTCGATTCCAGCCTTTTCAAATGTGTATTGGTGCTGCAAGTAAAGTTGAATGATACACGAAGCTATTAAAAATTACAACAAAACTATTTAAACATCTCTAAAATTGAGAAAAGCGAATCATGTTAAAGAAAAAAGAAAAAGTCTGACAGAACTCTCAAGCAGGTCAGAGGGTCCTCTTCTTAAGTAGTCAAATAAAGTTTATAAGAGATTTCAATAAATTATCTCGAAACCATGGCAGAGAGCTCGTGTGCAAAGTCGCTGTGGACGTCCACCCTTAAATGGCTTAAATCCAGAGCCACTTCCCCGAGGCATAGAACTGCCCCCGACCCGCACGATTCTATTAATTGGAGATGCATTTTTCCAGTGCTGGCTCATCACGCCTGCGCCATCGCCCATTCGCCTTCTGTCACGGTAGTCAGGCCCTTGAGAAGGTGGACCAAGCCTCTCTTTCCTGGGTCCACTTGTGTCCCGTCCATGGCGGTCCACCACGCATCACTCTTCAGGGTAGAGCTGGGCTCCCCACCCCGTCTGAGGTGAACCCTTTATCACTCTGTGAGCTGTCTTGTTCTCTTCAGCAGAAAGTCACTCCTTGGAATGCACATTTTCACCAAATTCTTCAAAATCCTTTATTTCGTCACTTTCATCTTGTTCAAGTGCCTTTGATTCTCCAACTCACGGTCCTTAACAAAAGCACCATCTTCCACAGAAGCATCTCCACTCAACTCATCTGCTTCTTGTTTTTTTACCTTTGGCTTTGGCTGGTTTCTTGTTTGGAGTATCAGTTGAAACAGTTAATTCAATATTATCTGGATCGCCTCCTTCCTCTAAGAGCCTGCTTCAGTCAGTAGACCAGCACCGTCTTGACTCCATTCATGTCCAGCCTCCGCCACTGCAGCTCAGACTTGAGGTTCGATGACCAGCAAGTCTGGGATCTTCTTGCCTTCAGCCAACGCCGCAATGCCCAAGCACTGACAGCGCCGCCATCTGGGGAAAGCAGAATGCGGCTGTGAACTAATCATATTTATTGTTGGGATTAGCGCATAACATCTCTTAATTCTTTTTTTTTTTTTTTTTGGTCCCTTCCCCACTCCAAACTCCTTTCTTTCCTCATTTGCTAAAGCTCTATTTCAATTTTTTAACTGTTTTTAATCCCTTTCCCTTCCTTCTCTTCCCTCTTCCTCCATTTCTTGTTCTTCTTCCCACTTGAAACTATTTCCCTACTACCTAATACGATCTTTTATTTTACTCCTTATTTATACTTTGGGGTGCTCATATAAGAGAAACAATTCGATATTTAGACTTGTGTGTCTGATTTATTTCACTTAATGTTACAGTCTCAAGGTGTATCCATTTACCTAAAAATAGCTCAAATTTATCCTTCTTTATGGTAAAGTAATATGCCATTGTATACCAATACCACATTTTCTTTATTCATTCATCTGTTGATGGGCATCTAGTATGTTTCTAAGATTTAGTTATTAAAAATTGTGCTGCTATAAACCTGGGTATGCATACATCACTGTAGTATGGTGACTTTAACTTTTTCAGGAAGATATCTACAAGCAAAATATCGATTACATGTGGAATTTCTATGTTTAGTTTTTTGAGGAATCCCTATACTGATTTCTGTAGTGGTTGTATCAATTTACAGTCCTGCCAACAACGGTAGAGTTCCTTACTTACCACACCTTCATCAGCATTTATTATTGGTTGATTTCTTGAGGATAGCCTTTCTTTCTGGAGTGAAATAGACTCTCAGTGTTGTTTTAATTTGCATTTACCAAATGGCCAGTAGTGCTGAACACTTTTTCATGTATTTATTAGCCATTAGTACTTCTTCATCTGAAAAGTATCTATTCATTTCAGATGTCCATTTTGATATTGGGTCTTTAACTTGGGGGGGTCTAAGTTTTTGGGTTCCTTATATATTTTAGATATTGAAACTCTGAGTACTGGGCACAAATTTTTTCCCATTCTGTAGATTGTCTCTTCACTCTATTGGTGGTTTCCTTTGCTGCATGTAAGGTT